AGCTGATTCTTATTTTATACAAACTAAGAGAAAGAAAGTTAATAAATGGCATTAATGAGGATAAAAAGCAAAGATTAAAATACTTACAAAGATAATGTTCATTAAACATCATTTTTTCTTTTTCTTCAGGGCATACTATGTGCTAAACTTTGTTCTGTATGCTTGGAATTCAACAATGAACAAAACTGACAAAGAACCCCTTCATGGGATTAATAGTCAAATGTAGAGGAATATTGACAACAAACAATAAATATAATAGGCATTTAAAATATGTTAGAAAGTGATAAGTGCTATGGAGAAAATGAAAAAAATGGAGCACTAATGGGGATTAGAAATTCCGTGTGTGTGTGTGTGTGTGTGTAATTTAAAATAGGGTAATTCAATGTGGTCATTATTAAAACTTAAAGGAAGTAGCTATGCTACCTGCTAGAGCAGGCAGAAGAAACAGCAAATACAAACCTTCTCAGGTGGGGGTGTGCCAGGAATGCTTGAAGAATTGCAAGAAGGCCATTGTTGTGGAATAAAGTTAGCAAGAAGAGAAGAATAAGAGATGATGTCAAAAATGCAGCAAGAATTGAATCCTGTAAGACCTTGTAGGCTAGGCCATTGGATAGAATTTGGCTTTTATTATGAATCAAATGGAAAAACACTGAAGATTTTGAACAGAAGACTGACAAGGAAACTTCTTGGCTTCTGTGTTTTTGTAAAACTCAAGGAGATCAAGGGAAGAAGTGGGGAGACCATTAATTGGGTACCGAAATAATCCAGGGATGTATAATGGTGTCTAGAACCAGAAAGTAATAGAAATGTGAGAACCAGTCAGATTCAGATATATATTGATGGTGAGGCAAATAGAATATATAATTTAAAAGGCTAATTCACATATGTTTACAGTTGTAAAATTTCTAAGTAAATTAGAAGTAATCCAACATTGTATAAAAAATATCATGGACAAAAATTTCCCAAGTTAGGTGAAATACGTAAATTTACAGATCAAAGAAGCTCAGGAAAAGCAGGAAAAATTTAAAGATAAGCGCACTTACATCAGGTGATCTGTGTACATCTAATGTACAGTATGGGTAAGGAACAACTAATCTATGGAATGAGGCAGCAAGTCTGCAGTGCAGCTGGGGGTTGAGTGCTAAGCCCTGTGACTCAAAGTGTGGTCTGAGGACCAGCAGCACCTGCATCCTCCAGTTAGAAATGTAGAATCTCACACCCTACCTCAGATTTATGAAATAAAATATGTATTTGAATAAGACCCCCAAATGTTCTTGGGCACATTAAATTCTGAGAAGCATTAAGACACCTGAGCTCACTGCAGTCTTTGAATGGCTGGGTTAAGGCTATAATTAAAGGTATCTTCCTAGCCCTAATCTCCTCCACTTAACCAAGCAGCCTACAATCTTAATTTCATTTTACTAGTGTGCCTCCCTAATGGAAAGAGACATTGCTTTATTACAATGTATTAAGTTGGATTTCAGATGAAAGCCAGACTTCTTCAAAAGTCTAAAAGAATTTTTTGAATAGGAAGAAAGCTTGTTCCATTACAGTGCCCATATATAATGGCTTTCAATTCCAGCTACATATTTAGAACTGCCCCAGGAGCTTTAAAATATACTGGTCCACACCAGATCTACTGAATTATAATTTCTGGGGGTGGAGCCACAGATTGGTATATTTTAAAGTTCTCTAGTTAATTCAGCGTGCAATTAGCTTTGAGAACCACTATGAATGAACTCTCAGTTTATTGACTTATATAACAATGCCTCCTTTAATCTGAATATAGTGGAGTCAGTATAGCTTTCAAGTTTATCTTCCTTGAAAACTTGTTATCAATCACTTCATTAAAATGTATTAATCTGTATTATAAAATCAATTAAATATTTAGTACATGGTGAGGTGGTATGCATTTCATTCATCCTTATTTCATAGTTAACAGTTGATTATGTCTTTTTTAAAATTTAAAGAGTATTTATTTATTTTCTTTCCAAGTTTTTATTCATTTATTCATTCATTCATTTTTTGGGAGAGAGTGTGAGCATGAGCTGGGGGGCAGGAGGAGGGGCCGGGAAGAGCAGAGAGAGAGAGAAACTCAAGCAGGCTCCACACCCAGAGTGGAGCTTGATGCAGGGCTTTATCTCATGACCCTGAGATCATAACCTGAGCTGAAATCAAGAGTCGGATACTTAACTGACTAAACCACTCTGGTGCCCCCCAATTTTTTATTTAAATTCCAGTTAGTTAACATTCAGTGTAATATTATTTTCAGGTGTAGAATTTAGTGATTCATCACTTACATACAACACCCAGTGCTCATCACAAGTGCCCTCCTTAATACCCATCACCTATTTAACTCATCTCCCCCATCCACCTTCCCTCCAGTAATACTACATTTGCTCTCTGTAGTTAAGAGTCTGTTTCTTGGTTTGCCTCTCTTTTTTACTCCTATCTTCATTTATTTTGTTTCTTAAATTCCACATATGAGTGAAATCATATGGTATTTGTCTTTCTTGGACTAATTTATTTCACTTAGTATAATACTCTTTAGCTCCATTCACGTCATTGCAAATGGCAAGATTCAATTCTTTTTTATGGAGTAATATTTCATTATATATATATACATACCACATCTTCTTTATTCATTCATCAGTTGATGGACATTTGGGTTCTTTCCATAATTTGGTTATTGTTGATAATGCTGCTATAAACATCAGGGTGCATGTATCCTTTTGAATTAGTATTTTTGTATCCTATCCTTTGGGTAAATACCTAGTACTACAATTGCTGGATCATAGGGCAGTTATATTTTTAACTCCTTGAGGAAGCTCCATACTATTCTCCAGAGTGGCTGCATGAGTTTGCATTCCCACCAACAGTGTAAAAGGGTTCCCCTTTCTCCACATCTTCACCAACAATTGTTGTTTCCTGTGTTGTTAAATTTAGCCATTCTGACTGGTGTGTGGTGCTATCTTATCGTTTTGATTTGTATTTCCCTGATGAGAAGTGATGTTGAGCTTCTTTTCATGTGTCTGTTGCCCATCTGTATGTTTTCTTTGGGAAAAATGTCTATTCATGTCTCTGCCCATTTTTTAACAGTTGATTATATTAATAAAGTAATGACAAGCATATAACTAGTAATATCCAAATAATATTAATATTTAACTTTATGAAATAAAACATTTCATTTCACAGCAGTTTGCCTTGTTATATTTTTATGTAAAAATTCACTTGTACCCCCTCAGTGCCTACCAGCTAAATAGTACAGGGACATCTATAGGGTGCTATTTGACCGGAAGACAATAGCTATTATTAAAAATCCATAAAATAGGGGCACCTGGGTGGCTCAGTTGGTTAAGTGTCTGACTCTTGATTTTGGCTCAGGTCATGATCTTAAAGTCATGAGATCAAGCCTACTGTCAGGCTCCACTCTGGACATGGAGCCTGCTTAAGATTCTCTCTCTACCTCTTCCACTACCCCTCATACTCCACCCCCCACTCATGCACACACACTTTCTCCCCCCTCTAAAAAAAAAGAAAAAATCCATAAAATAGATATATCCCAATACAGTTTTCTGGATAAGGGGCCAAAATTGCATTATCAGATGAAATGATAAACATAGACTACATTTTGTTCTTCAAACACAAGTTAGAAATGACTAGGAAATCAGATAACTAAGTGGAGTGGGTGAACATGTAACTTAGTTGAACAAAAGAAAGCATGTGACTTAAATAAAGCAAGCAGGCTTAAGTCTAAATAACTGCCAAATACTTTTAAAAATAAACTCCACAAAGTATAAAAAAGCTGAATAATAAGCAGTTAAAACCACTGCTCAAATAGTTTTTATTTCCATCTTGAAAATGAAAGCTTCAAGCACAGAATTCCATTGTAAATTGAATTTGGTTATTCCTAAGTCATCTGTTTGATCCCTTAGATTTTTCATTTCTGAAGAAGTATTTGTCCTTTAAGAAAGCATTGCAAAAATTATTTATATAAGACCTTATTAACATATTGTTCAGAATGACATTTCCAAGTGCAAAGATAAATACAAATGTTATCAAAGACACACAGTCTTTGAGTTTACTGTGCTGACTTGTTGGGAAGAGCTCAACACAGATGCTAGAAGATTTCTTTTTAAACCTGACCTTCTCCAATCAGAACAGGTCTGACAACTGATGATTTAAAGTCTTAAGTTATGTTATTAGGTAATATCAACATAAAATTCAAGAGACCTCAGGCTACAGATGATCTTATTTAAGAAAGTTTCCTCTTTTCTATTAGGCTTAGAGTCATTGTTATACCAAATCTTTAAGTTAAATGAGAGTCCTTAATGGCCTATGAAGAAAATCTATAACAGTAAATTATATCCAAATATAAAGTCATTATATATTTATGATTAAATGCTTAATAAATGATGAACCATTTAATTGAGAACAATCCCATTATGTGCACCTTAGAAACTTTTCTCATAAATCTGCTACAGAAATATCACCATTTTGCCATTTGTAAATCTTAGAAGAGAATCACATAGGAAAAAACAATGGTTTTGGACAGGTTTTGGGGAATGTAACAATCAGTTTAAATAGGTAGCTGTTTTTTACCCATTGGGCAATTATAGTTTATTTTGTTCTTTTACAGTTTTTAGAATAAGTAGAGCAGGCTCTGCTTCCATTAACTTTAAATGTCATGTTAAGAATGTATAATCAGATATTCAAAGGGCACAATTATGAACCATATGGAGGGTAGAGAAAATTGTTCAGGATTGGTACTGCCTCCAGACTTTTCTAGTAACCACTGGTATGACCTCAGGTTAAGTACTTCACTGATGTGGGCAGATGCCCCATCTTTAAAATCTGGAGGTTTGACTAGATCTACTCTAAGGTCACTTTCAGCTCTCAAAATAGCCTATGGCTTAAATTTTGGTTTAGTCATGATGTAGTGTGAAAAACTAATAAGATAATGTATTTTAATTTTGAATTCTGATTTCAAGAATACTTACAGTTAAGGCTGGTGGTCCTGGAGGTCCGGTATCTCCCTAAAATAGATTAAATAAAAGTTGCAGTTACTAATAATCTTTTCTTGCACATTTTATTTATGTTTTCTGAATGGATAGAAGCAATACATAGATAAATTTTGAAGGAAAAAAATAGAATTTCATCTTGATAGGAGTCTCTGCACAATGAAAAATATATCATGGGGTTTTAGCTCTCATGATATAAACATCACTTTGTGCACCCCCATGCTTTCTGCAGAATTTGTTTTGAAAAGCTAAAATAATCTAATTTTCTATTCTTTTGTCTACTAATCCAAAATTAGAAAGAATATCTCTTCAAATATGGTTACTTGCCAGTGGAGCAGCTGGGAAGTGTCACAACGACAGATAATTTTTTCTGACAAAGTTAGTATGAGGATCAGCAGAAATAATAAGTGGATCTCCCCACTTCATGCCTCCCAGCTGCAAGAAGCAGTCCCATTGCCTCTTACAAAGCTCTGCTAAATTGATATTGTACTTGCCATCAATTTTAAGAGGTTTTGCCTATATTTACATATTTTTAAATACCAAAATTGCTTTGCTGACCTACGTGAATACAAATTACCAGGTGTATATGTTGAGAAACTTTTCAAAATCTTTACAAAATGGCTCATCTGAAGTTTACTATTTTCTGATTTATATGTCACCTATATGCTTTATTGTATCAGGACCTCTATTTATTCAATAAGAACTCTTAATCATTAAGATCAAGCATCATTGCTATAATGCTTTTTAGGTAGACATTATGGAGACCTTATACTTTGTGGCATGAAGCTCTGAGATGTGTTTTCATGTTGAGAGTATCTCTGTGACTTTTTCTTTTCTCATCTAACATAGTCACCTCAAAAGTTAAGACTTAGTATGGGGTAATCATTACTTTTTGGAACAATTGAATAAAAATAGCCAATACTCGTTAAGGAACATCGACATAGCTTAACTCGGTCACTGAGGACCAATTTGTAAGATCAATTTTAACATTGAGGTAAATATTGAAGCCAGACAAGGATTCCCAAATGTGTTGAGAATAGAGAACAAAACACAGTGTCAAACACCCACACATACAATTCTCAACAAACTGGGATCATCCTATGACCTTATTCTGAATGACTCTTGCTTTTAGTATTTCCAAATCTCTTTTCAAGGTCACTGCCAATATATCATTATAAAATGGCATGTGAGAAAAAGTGGCAGGAAATGAAGCATTCAGACTAAGACTGAGTTAGAAAGTTAACCTCCATCCCCCCCAAAGGCCACCTGCTTCACCATTATGGTAGCAGTTCAGTGCTATTGGCAAAGTTCCCTGATACAAGGCACAGTTGCTAATTTGGCAATGGAATAGCTAATACTGTTAAGTGAGAGAGAGAAAGTGAAATCTTATAAACACAAATTAATGTCAACTAGCAGTTGTGCATTTAGTCTCTTCAAACTAATTAAATGAACCAAAAGGCTTTTCTTCAGATGCTTTTAACATAAGAGCCTTTGGTTAATTTTAACAAAATTAATTTTTGGCAGTTTAATAGTATCACTGAAAAGTCCCTGCATACATTCTCAGGGTTTTCTTAAGAAAAACTGGCACTTCTCTGGGTGAATACGATACCTTTTCTCCTTTTGGGCCAGGTGGACCACGAGGACCCAAGTCACCTTTCAAACCCTGTACGAAGAATACAACCAATGTGATTTCTATACACAATTCACAGAAATGCTTCAATTTCTAACAAGTCATTAGTCACAAAATAAATCATAATTTACTGAACTCCCAAATCCCATTCTTTAGTTTGTAGTATAGAGAGAAAGAGAGACAACTGGCACTAAAATGATAAGCAGCATCTGCGTTGTAGTGAGTACAGATACATTAAATCAGCGTGAGTCCTGAATGCTGCATATTTGTGCAACTTCGCTTCCTGCTAAAATTACATTAATTCACCATCTGGGAGAACATCATTTAGATCTATATGAGCTTTTAAGTATCCACTTTGGATTAAATTTGTGGATGTTGTAAATATCTTTGATTTAGCATTGATTTGGCCTTTATAAAGCTTGCCAAAAAAATTCAAGAATTAAATAAAAAACATTTTTATGTTTCTATCAAGTAATCTAATTGTGGGGGAAAAATAAATGAAGGACATATTCTTTCCCTATCACTCACAGCCTGAAGCTACAATGTTGTCTCTTTCCTGTTTTAAAGTATGTTTTAGTTCTCTAATTCCTACTTTTTTTAAACCTGAATTTATAAAGATATTAAATGAAACCATATAAGACATAGACAAAGTATCAGATAAATATGTTCATGAGTTTTCTGGGCTCTTGGGTGTTTCAGTGGGTATTTGGTTGATCAGACTCAGAAATGACAGCTCTCAGGAAGACCACGATAGATTTCACTGGAGTTCTACAGTTGAAGGTTTTCACAGTGTAAACAGAAAGAAAGTTAGATAGACACATCCTGACTGTGTGGTGAATAGAAAAAAAAATATCTTCCTTCATCCTTGATTTAACACATTGGATGAGGGAAGAACAATAATGGAAAAAAGAAATATTCTGAAGCTATACAATGCACAGTATATCTAGACGTCTTACTTCTCTTGGCTGAGGGATCCATCTCTCGCTGAACTGACATTTTGTAGTCAATAAATAAGGTCAAATGCCATCAGCTCTAACTACTTAATATAGAAGCCCATGAAGAATTTCAAGAAATGAAGGAAAACTGGATACTTAAAATAATCTTGTTCCAGAGGTTATGTGAAAACTGCAGTCTTACATCTTAAGAAAAAAAGACTTAACAGATGAAAACAGATGCACCTGATTGGCAAAAAACACTTCACAATTGTAGAAATACCTTTCAGGATAAAACTCATAGCTATGGGTCTTCCACTGTTACCTTGGAGTATTTATAGAAAAAGGATGAGTGAAAAAGTAAATTATATTTGAGATGTGATATTCTCTTTTTATTTGAAATAGCCTTTCCTTCCTGAATAAGCAAAATGAGACTAGTCTGAATTGAGCTGTGCTGTGAGTGTGAAACATGGATTTTTCAATATTTAGTACAAAAAATGTAAAATAGCTCATTAATTATTTTTATAGTGATTATATATTCAAATGATAATATGTTAGATATATTTAATATATTAAAATTAGTTTCACCTGTTTTTTACTTTTTTAATATGGCTACTGGAAAATATATTTATATTTGTCTTGAAATTATATCATATTTAGAAATATACTGTATAAGTATTATATTAAATAGATTCTATTTCTATTGGATAGTGCGACTTAGAAGTACAAAAACAAGAAGTTGACAAAGACTCTCCTTGATCAAACTTTAGTCAGACTCTTCTGAGTCCTCTTTTCGACTAAGCCTCAACCTTGTCCTCTGTCCTGTTCTGTCTTTGGCCTGCTTAGCCCAGTTTTAGCCAGAATCTTGCTCAGTCAGTTTAGAAAGAATCCCCCACTTTTGATATCAGATCAAGTTCCTCATCCCCCACCTCTGATGTGTAAGTGTTTGGCCCGCCTTTAGCAAGAATCCTATTAAGTCAGTTTTTTCAAGAATCCTCCTACCCTTGAGGTCTGCTCTTAATAATTTTTCATTCACTGAGCCCATCACTCTGTTGGCTATAAATCTCCCACCTGTCTTTGTTGTATTTGGAGTTGAGCTCAATTTCTCACCTCTACTGCAATACCCCTATTCCAATAGGTGTGAACAAAAAGTCCTCCTTACCATTTTAATAAGTGTGAGAATAGTTTTTCCCTAACAGGGTCAAGATTCCTGCCCTCAGGGAACTCATGTTATGAGAGGAGGGTGACTGCTGATAAACAGGACAACAGGCTGAATGTGATGAGTGAGAGGGAGAGAGCTACTATTTCAGTTGGGGTGATCAGAAAAGGCTTCTGTGTGAAGGGGACGTTTGTTGTTTTAAAGGATCCAGCCATGCGATGATCCAGGGAGAACGTATTGAGGTTAAAAGGCACAGCAAGCACCAAAGCCTCCAGGGTGAACAGAATGTCATGAGCATGCAGACAAGGAAGAGGAGATCAAGTCAAGTTTAGACAGAGGTCAATGCACATAGAGAACTGCAGGCCATAGCAAGGAGGATAGGTTTTGTTCTAAGTGGGATGGGGAAACTACTTAAATGTTTCAAGCAGAGAAATGACATGATGTGGCTTTTTTCAAAAGATATCACTTTGGCCACAATGTGAAAATAGATTGTAGGCAATAGATTGTGGAAGCAGCGTTCCAGGCAAGAGCGCAGGGTGGCTGAGGTAGGGGGGTGACACTGGAGATGGAGAGCAGTGATCAGAGGCTGCACATACTGGGAAGAAGGACATGCAGATATGTTGGAAGAGGGGGGCAAAGCAAAGGAGGTGCCAAGGCTTAAGTAAGTAATAGGACGTTGTACCATTTACTGGACTGAGAAGTTTATTAAAAAAGAGGTTTTCTTTCTGCTTCCTGGTATAACACTATCCAGAGAAAGACACATGAAGAAGAAATGGCTGAGAAAGACACCAAGTACCCATTTATTCAACAAATATTATTGAATATCTACAAATATATGACTAAACTCTGTATTCTATGAACATATGGATCTGCAAATGTTATTTTTTTAAAAGGCAACATTAAACACAACATTCAGGAAAATGGTTAACTCTGGGGTGGGGCATGGAGTTACACTGAGTTCTAGGTACACTGGTGTTCCAGTTATTACTATGATTCATAATCATCACACATTATATGTTATACAAATATTATTTCTAGGTATAAAATAATACATTAAAATTTTTCCCAATATTCTTGCCTGACGAACTAACCCTAACTGCAACTTCTGGGAAGGAGTTATTGGCAAATGAATCAGCTAACCATCCTTGGTTCAATCAACCATGCTCAGGAAGCAGTGGGGGAATAACGCAACCAAATATAAGTTGATGTGAATTTTGAGTGCTATTATGGAAGTATATAGCAAGTGTGAAGGGAACAGTTCCCAGAGAGGCCTAAATCTACTGGAGGTACTCAATATTCAGGAATGTGGAGTTCAGGAGAGTCAGGAAAAGAGTGGCATTTTATGCAAAATCCTAAGATGTTCAAGCTTCCCTATAAAATAGGTATAAATAATAGTTATCTTGAAGGGTTGCTCTGAGAATCATAGGTTATAAAAACACTCAGTACATGGTAGGTACTTAATAAATGTTGCCTTTACTTTTCAAGTCCAAGTTTAAGGGATAATTAATAGTTCATTCTGTTCAGGTTTGTACTCAGTTTGATGGATATGGAACCACTGTGCTTTTAACTCACATACGATAAAATGCAATCGAGAAGTACTGCATTCATCAAGCTTCTACTTTTATGGTCATTGAAGTGGGCCCATGTAACTCATGTCCTCTTGTGACAAAGTACAATGTTTTTAAGCCCATGGCATCATAATAGGCTCTGAGAAACAGATCAGTAATGCTTTTCTCAAGTGCAATTTTTCTCCTCATGTCACACTGGTGCTGCTATCAATGGTTATTGAGTACTGGGGAGAAAAAGATGCTGCATTCACCATAAAGCATAAGGAATCAAATGGAACAGACTATGAATTCAATATTGAATAAGATGGGAATCCATTATCAAGGTTCTCAATAAAATTCATGTATATAAAGATTCTCAAAAGCACAGTAGTTGACTCTGTATGTTATGTGGAGACAGGAACTCTTATCTAAAGGCAAGATGAAAGCTGAAGAACAGTATTATATCTAGAACTATAAAAGCAGGCGGACTATGAAATTAATTTTATTGGAAGATCTACTCCTCATGGTATGTAGCATCTTTAAAAATCAGAAGATACAAAATATTTGTTCAAAAAATTTAACCCATCAATTAATTCTTCACCTCCTCTTCCCATTGACTGTATCTTGTTCCCTAGCGATGGCATAAACTGTTGCCAGCTGATAGCTCAGCTTTGTGATTCCAATATATTTGTATTTAATAATAAAGATCACACTGGTATAAGGAGATAACATGATTATTTTAGAAACATCAGATGCTGTAATTCTGATAAGGGATGTTTGATAGACAATAATAAAGATGCAGAGGAAGAGTCTAAGCTCAGTGATTGAAATCAACTTTTCTAAGATTATACAACCCCATTAAAAAAACAAACAAATGAAATGTTATTTTTATTAGAGATAAATGTGTTCTATTTAACCCAGCTTCAAATAATAGTAAATGTTTATATAGTTCTTACTGTATGCGAGACACTGTTCTAAATGCTTTATGCATGATAACCCTGTTCACCCTCAAACACAGACAGACCAAAAAGGCCTGAAGTGTTATTAATATTATCATCCCAATGTGCAAATGAAAAAAAAAAAAGTGAGGCACAGAGGGAGTAAGTCATGTTCCAAGTAGTATGCAAAGTAGGGAGTGGCAGAGCTGGGATCTGAGCCCAGAAAGTCTGGCTTTAAAGGGTACATTAACAACTTTATAAGACACCCTCTCAAGTCTGTTATAAGATGCATTTGTTGAATATATCTCACAGTAGGTCACAACCAAAATCATTTAATTATAAACTCAAAAGTGTGTAAAATTGAGGTCTTGTATTTTGAAAGCTAAATTTTAGCAATTCAAATTTTTGACAATTTTAATGTTTGGTATGCATTATTTAAACTATAAGGGAAATAGGAGCATGTATTTAGTCTAATAACTTTAGTCCAATACTCTAATACCTTGAAGATCAATCCAAAGTTTACACACACATATACACTACCAAGGATGCATTTAGAAAGATATCAGACCAATATATATATATATTTTTTTTGTCCTAATGATTAAGAGCTGCTACATTAGTTGGTGAGCCTTTGGGATGCTAACCATTCTGCTCTTGCAAGACAGTCCCACATAGCAAAGAACTGTCTTATCCAAAATGACAATAGTGTCCCACTGAGAAAGACTGAACTGCTGAATATTTCCCTGTAAATCAGGTTTACATTTTCCAAAGTGAGCTTGCCCATTTTTTGAAATAGCTGGCACAGAAGAAATTATCAAAGAATACATTTACATCAAGATATTTGTAATATGCAAGAATAAAGACCATTAAAAAGGGCTTTTGAATTCATTTCGTAGGAATATTAAATTCTTACAATTTTCATTGACTTGGAAAGTAGCTGGAATGAGCTGGCCCATTAAGTTTATTCACTTTGCATTCCAACAGAATGTTTCTGAAGTTAGACTCTCCATCATGGCTTGACTTTAATTCAAATTGAAATCGCTATTATAATGCCCTTCATTCCCTAAGAATGTGTACCTGTGCTTATTGAAAGTCAGAGTGAACTGTCATAAATGCTGAATGATTTTAATTTGCACATTCAGTTTATTTTAGCACTGAAAAATAAGGAATGACAAGTGGGCATGATTTAATGGGGAAATAAGAGACTTTTCAGCCAAACATGTAGGGTTAAAAGCTGATTTTACCATTTTCTAAAAAAAAAAAAAAAAAAGTCGCTTAATTTCCCAACCCTTTATTTCTTGCCTCTGAAAATGGAGATGTTATAACCCCCTGCCCTAGCTAGCCCATAAAGCTAGAGTAAGGATCAAATTTCAAATTCCTTGTGAAAACAGTGTATGAATGATAACACATTATTAATAACACCAACACTAATGATGTAATAGCAGAGCACTTGATTCTTTATTCTTAGTGATAGAGGGAGGAAAAGGAGAATTTATTTCTCCTTAGTCATGACCCCTGAATATCTTTGGCAAAACTGAGGAAAGGAAAATAATATCATCTACATATTAATTAAGTAACCAAGTGAGAAAAGTTAATGTGCTTTGTCCTGCTTTATGATGTACCTAATGAGCTACATTAAACAATGATGGTGCTAAAGAAATGACAGCCCTGTGATTGGGGGCATGCAAAGAACTCTTCCAAGATCCTCTCCAAGAGGAAAAGTCACACTGCCCACTACACTATGTGCTCTCCTAACAGGTTGGTCTTATTCGGATTTGGAACTCCTATAATGGCTGCTGGAACATCTGGGCATGTAGTAGGCACTCATATATATCTGTTTATCAACTGATTACTTCTAAAAAGCCAAACCACCTTACTTGAAGATGCCATAAGAAAAATTTCCAAATCTCTAAGTTAATGTAAGTAGATTTCAGAGTCCAACCCCTCAAATCTCCAGTTTTATTCAGGTGTTTGGATAAATCCCTTTCTATTTCAGTTACAAAGTTATCTTTTTTTAAGATTATTTATTTGAGAGAGAGAGAGAGAGAAAGTGAGAGAGCATAAGCAGGGGAGAGGAGCAGACCGAGAGAAAAAGCAGATTCCCCTGCTGAGCAGGTAGCTGACAATGAAGCAGGGCTCCATCCCAGGACACAGGGTTCATGACCTGAGCCGAAGGCAGACACTTAACCCACTGAGCCAGCCGAGTGCCCCTCCATTGTTATCTTAATGAACTTCTAAAAATCTTCATTTTGTTCCTCTATCTCAGGGAGCCCGCATACATGCAGTTTGGTTATCTTTTGTAACACTATCGTTAATTTCCTTCAACACTCCTCTGTTTTTCACAAGTTAACATCCTTCCCATAATGAATGGTCAAATTCTTGAGCTATTTTTGAGTTTTCAATGCTATCTAGTATATATTTTACCACTATAATATCACTATCTATGTACTCCCTTCCATCTCTGTTATCCTACTTTAGGCTCTAATTACATCTATTTTAAACTATTATAATACTTTCTCAGTTTTTAAAATTAAAACTTGGCAAATAATTATTGGGAACTTACTCTGAAAATATTCACTAAGTACTAAGGATTCCAAGAAATGGTCTTTGCTCTTGTGAAGAGTATGATGGAAAAAACAAACCATAGGCAGAGGCCTAAATTTTATCCGTTTTATAGAACACACAGTCAAACTAATCTTCATTTAAACATAGCTTGGAGGATGTCTTCCCTCTGTCAGAGGAAGGAGAGCAAACATCCTTGTATACAGCACCTTCCATACTCTGGCTCCAGCTGTAATCTGCTTTGTTATTTCTATATCTCCTTACCTGTAGCAGGAATTCCAAAAACCTGAATGGATGCTTTTCAAGTTTGTAATCTTAATAATCTCTTTGTATAAAATTATAGGACACCATAGTGATGGGGACCTTAGACTAGACTCTAAGGCCATCCTTTACAGACATAGAAGTGATTTTCTCAGCTAGTGACAGAACTGGGACACAGTGGGTTCTGGCTTTCCATTCCAGAACTCTTGCTATGATACCAGGTGCCTCCCCTGGTGGGGATGGGAAATGAATCAGATGCTCTGTTTAAGTGTAGGCACCAACAATTGTGGCAGCCAATGTCTTAAGGCATTGTAAAGAGCTAGAGAAGATGCAGAGATTCCTCTAGCTACAAGCCCTAGGTACCAGTTCCCGTCCTCTTTAGAGAAAAATCACTTCAAAGGGGAAAGGAATAAGAATGAGGGTCATATTAAATATATAAATGGGGCTTCTCCGGAAGTAACAAGAGAGTAAATCTGTGGGGGGTCAGGACCTCAATCCAGTGTTGACTACAGGGTTAATTACTGGGGTATTTCTCTTTTGGAGAAACCCCCTCCCCACACTCAGGTGTCCCTCTTTGTCCACAAGCCCCAGGGACTGTAATGATCAGCTTTCCTCCTCACTGTAGTGATCTGCTGCATACAAGATGGGTTTCATAATGCCTCTAAGGCATTAGGGGACCAAATCTAGTTTCCTTTTTTCTTTCATTCATAAAGCAAGTAGTGTAGTGTAGCACTTCAGAACTTTTCTAAAACATTTTTATGCAAGTGAAAAAGAAAACTATGGGAAAGAGTAATTCTCATGGTGGTCACTTTCCCCAGTAAAGTTAGTGTATCTATAGTAAATGGTGATTTTGATGACCAGAAAATTAGTCTATATTTCAGAGAATAACCCAGATTTGGGATAATTTTCAAGTTTCATCCTAAGAATCAAAGTGAAGCTCGGGATAGGGGTAGGGGTGGGGACGGTCATCCTAAGATAAAAAGAGGAGATGCTAGGACATTAGGATGTTACAGGTAATAGTAGCCCTGAGGCTGATGACCTGGTGCAGTGGAAGGGCAGAAACACAGAAATTTAAGTCTCCCCTCCTCTTCTCCCCTTCTTTTCATCACTGCAATCCCACCCATGCAGATCCTTCAGTAGATGGAACTTTGGTATAAGATGAAGAGCGACCCTGGATAAGAACACAGACCACATGAGAATGTATGTAAGAAGAAAAAAGAGGAAGACTAGAAAAAAATTCAATCCATAAAGAACAAAAAAGAAAGCACTGTTAAGGATGACACAATATGAAATATGTAAACCCAAGGAATGACCCATAGTGACAATAAAAACACCGAGCCATTTAAAAAACTGCCTTGAGGGGTGCCTGGGTGGCTCAGTCAGTTAAGTGGCTGCCTTCAGCTCAGATCATGATCCTGGGGTCTTGGGATCAAGCCCCACATCAGGTTTCCTGCTCAGTGGGGAGTCTGCTTCTCCCTCTGCCTCTGACCCTCCTCCCTGCTTGTGCTCTTTCTCTGTTTCAAATAAATAAATAAATAATTTAAAAATTTAAAAAAATGCCTTGATTCTTGATTTTGCCTTGATTGTGGTTAGTTCTTCCATGGATAGTAAAGTCTTAATACCCTTAGACAGTCAACATATCTGTGGCAAAATGTAAACAGAATATTAGAAAAAAAAATGTTAGGCTTACATTTTGTCCATTAATGCCAGCCAGGCCTGGATCTCCTTTTTCTCCTCGTTCACCCTAGAAAGAAACAATTTATACAATGAAAAATGTTATAGCCTGAGAACCTGTACTAAGAAAAAACAAGAGCGTTACATTGTCGGGGCATTTATAACAATGTGATTACTTTGCTAATCCCTTGAAAGAAACATTTATTAAAAAACAATTCTGAGTCCTAAAACCAAAGAGAAGTTTAAAGGTTCAAAGAAAATCTGTATAAAAATGATTAAATGGTAGAAATAGAACAAGGATTATTTATTTTCTTCTATAAGCAACAAAGAACTTTCTGGAGGGCAATTTGGCAATATATATCAAGAGTCTTAAATCTGTTCATTTAATTTGGCCCAGTAATTCTGCTTCCAAGAATGTATCCTAGGGAAATAATCAGAGATGAAAAGTTTTAGGCACTAAATTGTAGAGTGCAATGCTATTTATAGCAGTAAAAAAGAGACATATCCTAAATGTCCAATAATAGGGAACTGATTAAATAAATTATGGTATATAAATATAATGCTATATAATGCAACCATTAAAATCATGTTTATGAATTTTACTTTATACTACAGGAAAATCCTTACGATGTAAAAAGTAAGATACAATTAAGGGATTGACAAATTCAATGAATAAATGTTAACAAATACCTTTTTTTTAACTTTAAAACTACAAATGTTCAAAATGACCATTTATACCAATTGTTTATGATACATACCCATAGTGACATATATTTTTGATTATCATCTGAAAGATGTATACTTTTATTGGCAAATGCTGCACATGTCTAACATTATTCAAAACAATTAAATACCTGTTTACCTATGCATCTACCTACCTACTTACCTACCAACTTATGTATCCACTTACTATGGGTCTTAGAAGCAATACTGGAAGAAGACAAACCAGAACAATAGAAGTGGTTAATCTATGGATTCTGTGATTATGGGTGATTTTTTTTCCCTTCACTATGTTCTTCTTTTTCAATTTTTTAAAACAATAAATATATCTTAGCTCTATAATCAGTAAAATGTCTAAAAATAAAAGAATATATTATGCATATAAAGAACTCATCCAAGTTGCCAGGTCTATCATGTAACACAGTGTGTGTGTATATGCATGTATGTAATAGTATTTGTAGTAATCTCTGCTTTGTGCCCCTAGGATGATTTTTATCCTCTTCTTTATTCTGTTGTTCCTCTTCCTTCATTTTTTTCTTACAATGAACACTATTATTTTTATATGCAAAAAAAAAAAAAACAAAACAAAACCTAAAGAAAAGCATCTGACTTTATGAGAAATACATTAATACTAACAATAATACTCTGTATTATTACATCTAAGACTTTGTATTCATCCAAGACTATGTATTATTACAATATTGAAATCATGTAAGACTATGTATTATTATTATATCATCTAACACTATGTATTATTATACTATTGAAAACACAGGATATGAAGTAAAAAAAACTTAATACTGGAATATAAGAAATATATATAATACGAGGATAAACAAAAGTGTATACAAACACATTCAGTGAAATAGGTTCAAGTTAGAATAAAGCTGAAAATTTTAAACTGAAAATGGAAGGGCAAGGAAACTCTAGAGCTATGCTGTTCAATGTGGTAGCCACCAGCCACACGTGGCTATTTACATTTAAATTAATTAAGATTAAATAAAATCAGGGGAGGAGCTAGATGGTGGAGGAGTAGGAGACCTAAATTTTGTCTGGTCCCAGGAATTCAGCTGGATAGGGATCAAACCATTCTGAACACCCACAAACTCAACAGGAGATCAAAGAGAAGAATAGCAGCAACTCTCTGAACAGAAAAGCGACCACCTTCTGGAAGGTAGGACGTGCGGAGAAGTGAATCCGAGGCGATATTCGGGAGGATAGACGGCGGGGGAGGGGGCCTCTGTCAGCCGCTACCGGCAAGTGATAGAGCCGTGGAGCACAAAATCGGAACTTTTAGAAGTCTGCTTGGCTGAGGGACGTCACTCTAGTGGCTAAGTGGGGGGTGGAAACCTCGTGGGGACAGTGTGGTCTCAGGACCCTTGGGGTCACAGAATGACCAGGGGTGCCTGTGTGCAGCAGAGCTCCCAGGTATTGGATTGGGGAAGCCAGCTGCAGAGACGGAGCCGAGGCATGGGCTCTCAGCTTGGGGTTGCCATAAACCGTGATCCACGGCACAGTCAGGCCACTGCTTCTCCAGCAGGGACCCAACAAGCAGCAGATCCGGGGAGACTCCCCTTCCTCCCCTGGGAGGAGCGGCAAGGGAGCGCACCACAGGGATCTGCGGGGTTTGGAGACTCCACACGAGGTCGGGTGCCAGAGATAGAAACGCTCGGTCACAGGCTGGGTGAGCACGGACTGCGGCCGGAGACCGGCGAGACAGGAGTGACTGACTGCTTTTCTCTGGGAGCTCACTGAGGAGCGGGGCCCTGAGTTCTTGGCTCGTCTGGGGCAGAGATTGGGAGGCCGCCATTTTCACTCTTGTCCTCCAAAGCTGTACGGAAAGCTTGCAGGGAACAAAAGCTCCCGAGGGCAAACCTGAGCAGATTACTTAGCCCAGACTGGCAAGGGCGGGGCAATTCCACCTCCGGCAAAGACGTTTGGGAACCACGCAACAGACCCCTCCCCCAGAAGATCAGCGAGAACACCCAGCCAAGACCAAGTTTACCCATCAATGAGAACGGCAGAACTCCAGCGCTAGGGGAATACCGCACATAAAATTCATGGCTTTTTCCCATGATTCTTTAGTCCCTCAAAGTTAATTTTTTAAATTTTCTTTTTTTTTAAATTTTTCTTTTTCTCTTTTTCAACCAACATCTTATCAATCCCTTTTTTTTTATTCTTATGTTAATCCCCATACATTACATCATTAGTTTTAGATGAAGTGTTCCATGATTCATTGTTTGTACATAACACCCAGTGCTCCATGCAGAATGTGCCCTCCTCAATACCCACCACCAGGCTAACCCATCCTCCCACCCCCCTCCCCTCTAGAACCCTCAGTTTGTTTTTCAGAGTCCATCGTCTCTCATGGTTCGTCTACCCCTCCGATTTCCCCTGCTTCATTCTTCCCGTCCTGCTACCTTCTTCTTCTTTTTTTTTTCTTAACATATATTGCATTATTTGTTTCAGAGGTACAGATCTGAGATTCAATAAAAAAATCTTTTTCATTTTTAGAGTCATATTCTATCCCTTCATAGTAGTTAACCTTATTTTTGGTATATATATATAAGTTGTTCTCTCTTTAAAATTTTAGGATACAGTTTCTTCTAACAGACCAAAATATACCCTAAATCTCTAGTGTATGACTTTGTTCTAGTCTTCTGCCTGATCACATTCTTTCTTTTTTTTTTTAAATCCTCTTCTTTCTTTTTTCAACCAACTTCTTATTTTATCAATTCCTTTTATAAAATCTTTTATAATTTTCATCTTTACAATCATATTCCATCCCTTCATCGTATTTACCCTTTTTTTTGTACATATAGAAGTTTTTCTTTCTTTAAAATTTTGGGAGGTACTTTCTTATAACAGACAAAAATACACCCAAAATCTAGTGTGTGGCACTGATCTATGCACCAGCCTGATCATATTTGAGCATATTCTGTGTTTTTTCTTCTTTGTTTTTTGTTTGTTGTTGTTGTTTTTTTGTTTAACTTTTCTTTTTCTTTCTTTTTTTTTCTTTTTTCTTCCTTTCCCTTTCTTTTCCCTGGTTTCAGGTCTCTTCTGATTTGTTTAGTGTATATTTTTCTGGGGTCATTGTTACCCTGTTAGCATTTTGTTCTCTCATCTATTCTCCTCTGGAAAAAATGACAAGATGGAAAAAATCACCTCAAAAAAAAGAACAAGAGGCAGTACTGATTGCCAGGGACCTAATCAATACGGACATTAGTAAGATGTCAGAACTAGAGTTCAGAATGACAATTTTAAAGATACTAGCTGGACTTGAAAAAAGCATGGACAATATTAGAGAAATCCTTTCTAGAGAAATAAAAGAACTAAAATCTAACCAAGTTGAAATCAAAAAGGCTATTAATGAGGTGCAATCACAAATGGAGGTTCTAACTTCTAGGATAAATGAGGCAGAAGAGAGAATCAGTGATATAGAAGACCAAATGATGGAAAATAAAGAAGCTGAGAAAAAGAGAGATAAATAACTACTGGATCACGAGGGCAGAATTCAAGAGATAAGCGATACCATAAGACGAAACAATATTAGAATAATTGGGATCCCAGAAGAAGAAGAAAGAAAGAGAGGGGCAGAAGGTATATTGGAGCAAATTATAGCAGAGAACTTCCCTAATTTGAGGAAGGAAACAGGCAGCAAAATCCAGGAGGCACAGAGAACCCCCCTCAAAATCAATAAAAATAGGTCAACACCCCGACATCTACTAGTAAAACTTACGAGTCTCAGAGACAAAGAGAAAATCCTGAAAGCAGATCGGGAGAAGAGATCTGTAACCTACAATGGTAGAAACATTAGATTGGCAACAGAACTATCCACAGAGACCTGGCAGGCCAGAAACGACTGGCATGATATATTCAGAGCACTAAATGAGAAAAATATGCAGCCAACAATACTATATCCAGCTAGGCTGTCATTGAAAATTGAAGGAGAGATAAAAAGCTTCCAGGACAAACAAAAACTAAAGGAATTTGCAAACACAAAACCAGCCCTACAAGAAATATTGAAAGGGGTCCTCTAAGCAAAGAGAGAGCCTAAAAGCAACATAGACCAGAAAGGAACACAGACAATATACAGTAATAGTCACCTTACAGGCAATACAATGACACTAAATTCATATCTTTCAATAGTTGCCCTGAATGTAAATGGGCTAATGCCCCAATCAAAAGACAAAGGCTATCAGACTGGATAAAAAAACAAGACCCATTGATATGCTGTCTGCAAGAGACTCATTTTAGATCCAAAGACACCCCCAGATTGAAAGTGAGGGGGTGGAAAACCATTTACAATGCTAATGGACACCAAAAGAAAGCTGGGGTGGCAATCCTTAT